GGTTGTGAATTTTATCTTTGAGCGTTTTGTACACGTTTTCGTATACTTCGGTATTTTAATCTTTCAGTTTGTAAAATTTCATGCAAATCGTTTCATCGATTTCTTGAAACATTAGAGTGGCGCATCTGAGCAGAAAAAGAATCCTCTCGGTTTCGAAGCCGCCGCGTTAAATCGAAATCGTACAAAAAAAAGAGGATCCAGCGTCGTTTCATTCACTTTGCTGTAAATTCGAAATAGCACGACTAAAGAGATTTCCTATTGTTGCGATGGCTATCAACCGCTCGGGCCAATTAGCGCCTCCATGCGAAAAAAATTGAATTCGAGGCTTTTCAGCAACAGGGGTGGCTAGAGTAATTAAAATTTCTAACTGTAACAATTAGATCCGAATTAAGCCTGCGGTGGTGAAACTCGAAATTGGACTTTCATTTTAATGGATGTAACGAAATCGCGTTGGGTTGCTGTGGAGGGGACAGGAGATGTATTGTTCCAGGAAATTGATCGGTCCCCCGCAGAAACGCGGGAAGATCGATAGTCTGTCTGGTCTGACAAGCATGGCGGTTGTCGATTACTGTTTTATCGACAGTTCTTTAAATTCCATTTTCCTGATAAAAGTTTAAACAGGTTTCGTCTGCGGCTCGAACGCCCATCTGTTTCACTGTACTTCTATATACGGTTCTATGGAATACCCTTCCTCCATTTTGACACACGAATGCTTCTATTTACTCGCGAAGGATACTATTTCGAAGGTTTAGTAGAGTTACGAATGGCATTTTAATTCTATCGTTGCGATTCAAAGAATAATTTATCTTTGTTCTTCTTAAAATATCTCTCGAGGAAAGATTATTCCATAACTCTACAATTATGGTCATTCTATTTCCTTGAACAGGTCAATTTATTTAATACCCTCTAGTCTCAGTTCATTCGTTCAGTCATACCTGAAATATTAAATGCGTTAAATCTCTTCTCTATTATTTTTCATTTTCCTTTAGCGTTATCCCTTCAAAGTTTCGTTATAACCTTGGGTCTGATTACCTCATCTAAATATATATTATATATATTCATTTTAAGAATGAAAATTGTTATCTGTCTCTAACTCAAACGAACAGCATCAGCAGTCTCACGAATTTAACGAAACTCAAACAGACCGCGAAAGAGGGCTAATTAAAAATTACCAAGGCGATTTGCGTGACGCTGTTCGAGAGTTGAACATTTCGAGGAAGTGCAGCTGCGCTCGTTGCCCGGACCAGCCATCCGGCTCGTAATCCTCCCTGGGGGACGTCGAATTTTTAATTCGAGCCATCAAGACTCGAAGTACGCTCGCGGAAAGTTTCGACGTCGCGACGGACCTGGCATCGTCCAGGGAATCGCAGGGACACGCCATTGTGAGGAGTTTCTCGTCAAAACGCCGCTTGATTTTCACGGAAGATTAATAATCCTTGGAATGACTGCGAACGTCGAAACCCCCTCCGCGAGGATGTGGAAAGGGGCGAGCCGAGCGAGGGGAGGGGGTGGGGGATGAACGAAGACGGAAGTTTGCAGAAACTTTATTATAAAACTAATATTTTCCAAGTTCTATGAGGTATTACGATAGTTTTCTGAAAGGGCCTGCCAGTAGACCGGCAAGGCGAAATGGTTCGCGGGCAAAACTTCAATATTCGGCGACCATAACGACACCGGTTGATATATTATTTCCTATAACTTTCCCTCGCCTCGTGGCTTTGTCTGGCCGCTGGAACGAGGAATAAGAAGATCGGAAACGAAACTTGATTAAGAATTCCATTGCCCCCTTCCCTCGTGGTTCCTTTCACCCTGTCGACGGGGATGCCGCTTGCGTTCAGACTCATTTTCATCCAGGAAATTTCACTCGATTCCACGAGTTGCACCGCTTTGAAGTTACTCAGCGTGTTGCTCGGGCTGAAGAAACAAATGGCAGGGATAGTTCCCACTCGCGAATTCTCGTAGCAAATTTGATCAATATCCGAGACATTACGAGCAGTCTGCGAGGGTCAGTAGCCATTCCGAAACAAGAGGGCCCGAAGGAGAAATAAAAGGAAAATGATCTCCGGTCACGCACGTCGGGACGATCGATCCCCCGAGTGTTTATGAATCTCTCATGCGATCTGGATGACCGTGGGTCCATTACGCGGATTCATTGCGTCGCATTTGGCCATCGCCGCGTTATTAGAGTTGGTTCATTCCGTGGGTTCGAGCGCGTTTTTTTATTGTGCGCCGCGTCGCCAAATGAAGCCAGCGAATCGAGGCGAAAGAAACCTGGCGGAAGGGGGAACTGGGGAAAGAAGACGGTGACAGAGGCGGAAGGGGAGGGTGTAAAGACGGAAAATTAGTTGGAATCTTTGAGAAAGAAAGATAATGGGAGCTTCTCCGCGACGCTGAGTAGTAGATCTTCAATTTTTATCTCTGGCTTCTTCAGACCGTGGTCGATGGGATCCTCGAGTTGCGTCGCGGTAACGTAAACAATTTTAAATTACAGCGACTCGTAAATCAGTCTTCTAATATGATTGGCTGAGCCCTCTTTATCGCACCGTTTTAACGCCCACGTTTCGCGGGAGCGCCGCCATCGATTTCACGATAAATTCGAGTCGTTTCTTTTCTTCCAATCGCGAGTCACGATGCGGTAGTCACTCGTTTAAAGATACAAGCTTAGCGCGGGATTAGAGATAACGAGTATATCGATGTTTGCGTTTGTTCGGGAACGACGTGAAATCATGTACCCCCTGACCGAACTTTAAAGACGCGACGCGTGGGTGTAAACGTGGTATCTAGTATTGCTTGATGATGACAAATGAACGTTTCGTTTGAAACATTTTGCAAACATTGGAATGTATGCTTTTTCAATCTCTCATCGTTATGAGAGTACTATCGATAGTGAGGATTTTCCGATGGAAATTAGTTAAAACACGACCAAGTTCCGACTGTTTTTCGTTATCATGTTCATATACACCGTTCCGAGAAAATATCTCCTACGTAAATTGACACCGATCCGTGTTTTCATTCAATGTTCTCTTTAGAAACGATGACAGAGGAAAAGTTTAATCGACATCGATATGAGAAATATGATTCCCTTCAAGATTTATTTGAAATATTTATACATATTGGGAAAATTAAATAAACCATAACAGGTCTTGGTGCAATCAATTTTTATACAAGAAAATCTGTAACATGACACTACGAATATGAGAAAACTTGTATTCGTTGTATAGTGAACATTCTTTTGAATTAATCGCTTTTAATTTTTGAGTGAACCGCGATTGAATTCGCGACAACTTCCTATAAGAGTTCCATTCGTGCGCGCACAAAAACCTCAATTTCAAGGTGAAAGGTCAACGGGTCGTGAAAACGAGAGTCGATGAATTGGCGCGACAACTCTCTGTCGATGAATGCGTCGCGTCGACAATCGAGCATGGAAAAATTTGCTCGATTCCAGTGCTCTCGCAATCGGAGCACGCCGCCCGAAGCGGGCAGAGGCGCGTGCGGCAAATTGAATTAAACCCTAGGGTTATTTACAATGCGTCCCGAGTCGTCTCGATTTACGCGCGGTTCAATGAAAGTTATGGTAACGACCGAGTAGCTTGGCACGACAAAAGCTATCGACAAAACCGAACGAGTTCAGCGAACAGAAAGAAAGAAAGGGAGACAGGAAGGGATGAAAATACTTTTCCATGCCTTTTCCTACCATTTCGACCACCCCTGGGTCCCAACTTCCTCCTGCACGTTTGCTGCATCTCTGCAACCCCCTCGCGAGCGGTCATTCGATATACGTGCCACTCGGAAATGTCGATAGCGTATTTCTTCGTGGAAAATCGGAGGAAACAGGTTGCCGGGGGATAAGTGCGAGAACGCTGGGGCCTGAGTTTCGTACGTAGAGAGCGGTAGGGGGTAAGAGTGAAGGGACAGAAAAAGAAACGGGTAGAGGAAAGCGGAGAAGATAGCAGGTCCTGGAGAAGCGAGGTAGAACAAAGGGTGCTTATCGACACCGCAGTTCTTATCCCTGGTAACTCCTTTTATTTTATCCGTTTCCGTTCCCGAGGCTTCTAAGGGGCGGAGGGGGATGAAGCCTCGAATCCGTACCTTGTATCCGAAAGATAATCAGCGCCCGAGACGTACTCGAACGCAGACGGCTATTTTCGGCCGTCGCCCTTCTTCCAGTTCTCTCGAATTAAGGGACAACCCCCGCGTGACGCGCTCGGATCTTGGTAGTTTTTAGGAATTTTTCTGGGGGAAAATATGCTATAGATCTTTCTGACATTCGTAGAGCATTTTAGCACGTTTATGAGGTAACGAAATGAATATCTGTTGGGTGTGAAAGATAGGTATTCCAAGAATAATAATACGGTTCATTATGTTCGCGTTCATTGTTCTTGAAAAAAAGAGTGTGCTTATATAGATAAAGTCAGTCCCATAACTATGTACATCCCCTTTATGTCTATTGAACACATTTTGTCTAAATTAAATGGTAAACTTAATATTTCCAAACAAATGTTTCATTATGAATACGTACATGAATAAACTTCACGCGTGTATATATTTATAACGATAGATTGATATGAAAACATCGAACCTATCATTTAATTTGGACATATTTTTTTAATAAACATACAGGGCACGAATACTTATGGAACTGACTGTACATGCAAAGTCGATTAAATAGATTTAGAATCATCCTGAAATGTAAAGAAAGCGTATTTTTCTGCGTGGAAGGTGGCTGATCCCCGAGTAAATAATACACAGACTCGAGAGCCCTTGTATCTGGGGTAAGACAATGGACGGGAAAATTCAGAAGTCGAACAGACGAATGGCGACTGTTTGCACGGCGTGGGCGGATGTTTTAATCCTCCCCGAGTACACTAGATTAATTCACTTTTGGATCCCGTCGACTCCTCCGTCCGGGAGTCGAATTTTCATCACAAAGGGCGAGTGTAATTGGAAATCTCGGTTTACATCGAGCGCGACCGGCTAAAATCAATATTTAAAGGACTTACCTAGTCTCGATGACGTAGTACCAGATCGGGTTGTAATGAGTATTAACGCTCGGTGCCCAGGACAGATTCACAGATCTGGTCGTAAAGCTCGTTACCATTGGACGCTCCGGCGGTTCGGGCACATCTGAAAGCAAATTATCCAAGTTTCATACGGTGTCTCAAAGAGAGCTGGTTTTTTTCCCTAAAAGCCAAAAGAGTCGTTCCTTGATAATGCCTGGAAATACTCATATCGCTTCGTGACTCCATCTAGCAATCTCTATAGTCGCATTCAGACCACAGCGATAAAGTTACAAAAATTACACAAATTTTTTTTCCAAGAGCATCATTCCCCTCGCCGTGGATTCGATTTCAATTTGATTATTCTTAAATCTACGTAGCTGTTAAGTCTTTCGATCAATTTCTTTCTTCCCAGTCTATAAAAAATGGCAGAAAAATGAATTCTTTTTCTGCTCAATCCTTTCAATTAAAGCATTCGTCGACCGGAAAACCCTCGAAGAAATTTTTCCTGGCGCAAACACCGATCACGCCTCGTTCCCGCTGCATCGGATAAGAGTCGACCGTTTAATATGCACCGCCATGCAACCCGAGAGATATAACATTGCGCGCACGTTGCATAAGATCATAAATGAGAACAGGGACCTCCAACAACCCTGGACGGAGTCTTCATCCTTCTCTGACCCACGATATCGCGTTGTTGGTGTAGAACACCATCCTATCGGCGTCGTAACATTTTGCAGGGACCTCTCGAAACGCTAGCCGAAAGCTGGTCACAGTTAGCGCCGAGCAATTAATCGTCCATTGTAAGCGCAGCCTGTTGCAACAAGCTTTGCCACTTCCTGCTCGCCTCTGCCCTGTTCTCAGCTTTTAATTCGACGCTGTCGTTCAAATCTTGCTAATTAAGATTAGATGAGCGCTGGCTGGACATGCCAATTCAAGTTAACGCTATTCGACTGGCTACCAAAGTACCTTGGAATGTCACTTGGGAACTGTGAAGCTCACGAGGTTGTGACAGTAAAAACTTTTTACTACGTACTCTCTGCTGAAGCTCCCTAATTTATGGAGGAGCGTAGTTACACTTTAACAGGTCGAAAGGCGTACCTTAGACGTGTCCAAACTAAACTCCGAAATGTAGGTAGCTTCCTCCACTTTGTATTCTTAGGATGCGATGCATAGGAAGGGAAAACATGAGAAACCTTGGACGTGTCTAGTTTTGTGTGTAAAATGAGGCAGCCTATGGGTTGGGCCTCTTCCCTCTCTTCTTCTTCAATAACACACTGTATAAGTGAAGAAAGTACCCCCTTTCACCCTATTGACGTCATATCGACCAAGAGAAATGTCTCGTTAGTCTCAACTCGATATAGAATCGCCACCGAGCCCGCCTTCAAGTGTACAGTCTTAACCCTGTCAATTGGAAGCGAGAACTAGTGTACTTCCAGCTGTCTTCGACTCCCTTTTTCTTCGACACCATAAACAACTATTAGATTCCGTTCAGTCATCAACGCTGTATCGACCCAGGCTCGAGGCTCGGTGTATCAGAATCCGATAGCTATAAAAATAGTATGAGTCGGAAGAAGAAGTCAGGTTCGCGGCTTATCGTTACTCTTTTTTTCCAGACGGCCCGCGGGAAATCAATAAAATTGCCATTAAATTATCCCTCCGACGCCGGGATAGACTTTCTTTTTCCGATCTCGACCGCCACGGCGCTACTCCATCCGCTTTGAAGCGATACCCAGCTTAGTCCACACTCTCTAGCGATAATCGGAGACGGATCAGGGCAGATAAATGCCGAGGGGTTGTTTACAAAGTTGTTAACGCTCCTTTTTGCGTGGGATAGTATTGCGATATTTCCAGAAACATGGTCAAAATTTGAACAATCACTTTAGAGATATATTCCAAACGCGAATTTAATTTTAGGATGACCGTGTACTTGTATCGTTATAAATATTAAAAATCCATATATTAATACGTCACGTATTAATCATCCTATAAATCACGTATAAACGGATGAATTTCTGTGAAATTCCTGTGTTTTAATATCGTTCCCCTCAGTTTGTATGCATAGAAGCATTTTCAAAACCTGAAACGCACACGTTGTGTCACAGAATGTCAATATTTAAGGGAACGAATTTAAATTACGATATATAAGGAAAAAGTGATGCATGAACCTAGTATCGGAGTTACGACGGCGTACGTATGAAATATATTCTCCCCTGGATATATTGAAGTGTCGTCTCGAAAGCTCGAGACAGCTCGTATTTTTAATAAAACAGTATTTCTAGGGCGTTTAAAATTCGAATTTCATTAAAAGCTGGGAATTTTACAATTTATTTTCAAGATAGAATGAAAAGTCATATCGGAACCACGGTTCTTGAATATTAAAAAGTTGTTAATATGCACATAGATTGAGATGAATTTTCTTATGACAGATTAACGTATAAAATCATACAGAATTATTCAACATATTCCTTGTATACTTAATATAAATTCGAGATTGTACGCAATTGTACGGTTATTCCGAAGGTTTTTCTGAAGTGGTCCTGAATGGAGGTGAAAACGTTGAAGAAAAATAAATAATAAAAATGTAAATTCCATCTTAAGAAATACGAAATATGCATGTATATTTCCCAGACACTCCAGATAACATTTTCCTTTGAATTAAACTCGCTGAGTAACGAAGAAAGTTTACGTTCCTTGCAAATAAAAATAAGTTATACACCTACATAGGAGCAATTCCCTCTCTCTTTTTAGTATGCAAGAGCAACTGAAGGAAACTGCACACGTTTCTTTGCACTTTCCTTTATTTACTTTATTTTACGCCTTAATTGCGCCCAGCCTGCGGCATTATGTAAGGTAAACATTCATTAAAGAAAATGGAATGTGCTAAGAGGCGAGGTGCAGCTTAGGTGTCATTCCCAACTCCAACCGCAACTTCTACTTGCTCTTAGTTATTAACAAACAAAGATGGATATCTCCCAAAGAACAATTCCTCACTGTTTATTCAGATAATGAATAGAACATTAATGTACTCGTTTACCCTCAAGTATCGCTCGGTAACTGTTTAAAAGATGTACCTTCTTAACTCGTAAGCATAAACCGAGCGAAGTACACGTATATATTCACCTTCACACAAAATTTAATTCAAATTCATGTCATCGTAATTGCGAAGACGCGTCGCGAAGTTCTTCAGCGTTCTTGGCCCGCACAATTTTTCAACAATTTTTCTCAATTAGAGTCAATCACGTAACCGGAACTCGGCTACGAAATGCGTCTTCTGGGCGGGTAACGAGCATCCGTGGATGCTTGATACCGGAAGTTATATAGGTCACGCTGCATACCGACGTAACTGCACACCGAGAGACGCCGTTGCGCCGTCCTTTACTGTACGCGGAATATAAATTCCAGCGAGGCCGTTTACCGAAATTTATGAGCGTCATTTTAAGAACTGTTTTGCCTTGCTCGACCATATGGCTGCCACGTAAATATCTCTCACTCCTTCTGTCGTTAGACCTCAGCGTTCCACCATTAATCGTGTTCACCGATTCTTCCGTTTCTCCTTCGTCCACGCGATCACGCTTGACGCCTTCCTCCACTTTCTTCAGGGTTGATTGTGAAGACTCGTGTTAGGGTTAACTTCACATCCAAGAAATGCAAATTATTTTAACATTATTATATGTATGTAGGTAGAAGGGGATTTTTATTTAGATGTTTTTATCGAATTGAGAGCAGTCGAAAAAGAATTGTGAAACAAAGTGGCTTCTATCGACAGGATGGTCTTATACCTTCACATAAATCCATGGTTTTAAATATCGAAACAGAATCATTGTCATATAATATGAAACTCGACCAACAAAGGAAGGATTTCAATTGTCCAAACGTAAATCTCTGAGCTTAGGAAAAAGTAAATAACAAGGTACCCCTAAAGTGTTGATTAAGTTTCAACCGTAAGATAAAGCCAAACTTTTTTGAAATCTCAGATAACATATTATATTAGCCCATCTCCTACGAAATATTTAAAGTTCAAAAGTTTATCGTAAACAGGAATATGCTCTGTCATATTCCCTACTCAGAGGAGTTTCCGCGATTTTTTACATTGATCGTTGAAAGTAAAAAATCCTATGCAGCCTGTCCGCGATATGCGTAAGCACATCGAAACGAGCATGTTTGTCAGGGAGTATCTCATTCAATATTGAATCTGGCGCGCATCAATCGCATTCCCGTGCAAGTATTCTTGCCTCCGTGCCGTGTATCCCTTATCGTTAGTATTTCCTTTTTCGTTTAACTTGCGGGGGCGGACTCTTCCGCCGGGCGGATGCTTGATCGGATAAAGTAGTGACGCGCACCGAGAGCATTCAATCGAGTCTTATTGAAAATGTTACCATACCGTCCCGACTCTCTGTTACATTCTACATTTCCGCATGACATATTCGCTGGGAAATTGTTTGCCCGTCTTCCTCCGCATTCCTCAGCCCCGGCGTTCCCTCCGAATGTTTACGTTTACTTGAGCGTCGCTGCAATAACGGCGCTGCATTAGACGTCGCGGCGCTGCCGAATAACACTCCGCTGTGTTTCGAGCCGTTTTCCAAAACGTTTCTTCGCGAGTAGCAGAATGTTCGCAGAAAGGGAAAATAATAATTTTAGTCTTAACGTGAACTCGAATGCACTGGGACTGAAAATGTGCATTATTTTTAAAAAGCGTTGGTTTTTAAATGCTTTCTGTTTTCTATTCAGATGCGAAAAACCTATATACTTGTTGCGTCAATTCTTTATATTCCGAACGCATAACGCTCGGAGAAATAAACGATTTTATATTTAATTATTCGAGTGGAACGGTACTTCTGGTTTTTGCGTTTTCGAGGCTAAATTATTATCTACACGGTTTCCCAATTTTTGCTTTAAATTTCCAATTGGTGAAACATTTGCTCGGCAATTTGAATACCGTCTGCTCGGTGCTTAAACATTCCGTGACCGCCATATTTAAATCGCGGTAAGCGGGAACGCAATCTTCCTCAGAACATCGACCGAGTGGTTCGAATCGATTCCACGGTTCCGGAGAGAGGAGAATTGAAGGAGAAGTACCATTTCATATATTGGGAAACGCGATAGGATAAACTTTAAAGGATAAAC